TGCACATTTTATCAACACCCACCATCTGAATGATGGCCATTGCCTGTTGCAGTAAGTGTAAAGGGTTTTGTAAGGAAAATGGGAAGAAAATCATACATCCGGTGACATGGGCATGGGAATTTTATATATTTATAAAGAGTTGCTGAAAGTTTCACTTTGCATGCACCATGACTCACGCGAGCCTTATGTCCCGTGCACATTCCTGACAGCGTACGGACAGCAGCCAGGATCATTTCTGGTTTGCCAGTCTCGATCATATTGAGTAGCAGAGTCACTCCATTATTCTGGAAAATTCTCTCTGCTCCAGCGTCTTCCCTCGAAAGGACAATCAAGTTGTTGGCGGCCTAGAGGTTGAAGAAGTAAAACTGTGTGAACTGTGTGTTGTTGCCACAACAAATATAGAAATAGGAAGTTTAGAAAATCCTCACCTTCTCCTTCTTGTCCTTTTCGCTCTCTTCATCGAAGAGAATGTCAAACATGTTTTGTACCCTCGAATCTGTGGAAAATGTAGTTTTCAGCTGTGGAGAGAAAAAATGATAAAGAAAAATGACTATAAATGATCATATCATCTAAGCTCCTGCTGTGTAGACTACATTTTATATTGTTTGGTGATATGGCCATGAACAGTCATGAAAATTACTTCAGTGTTTAGCCTGCTGATTACTTGTATGTTAGAGTTTAATGGATACTTATTGCAGTTAGATAAGTAGTATATGTAGTTTTCTACTGCCCTGTATGGTGCTCTGTGTGCAGTTGTATCTGCCTAATGCTGACCTTGGACTGGATTTCTGCTCCCAGTCTGCGGAGTGTCTCCAGGAAGGCTTTGTTCTTTGGCTCGAGCGTGGCACACCTCTGCACATCTTTGAAAGCCATATCCAGTTTTCCCAGCTTTTCCAGAGCTTGGCAGCGCCGGTACAAAGCTTTTATGTCTTTTGCATCAACATCAATCGCTATGGATGAGGGCAAATTGTTTAAGTTAATGACTAGCTTTCATCTATGGATTTTTGTTCTGCTGTTGACTAAATATTTACAGCTGTTCAAAGTTCTTAACGTATTACTCTACCTTTAGTTGCATCAGATGCTGCATTAACATAGTTTTCCTATAAGAAAAAACAGAGACAATCACAGACAGTTTGTCAGAGAACCTGCAAGCATAATCTGTTTGATATAGTTTTGGTCCCATATCAGAGTGCTTACCTTTTTTAGGTAGCATGCAGATCTGTTCCTGTAAATCACAGCCAGCACCTTTTTGTCCTGGCACACCTTGATGGCTTTAGTGTAGCACTCAATGGCCTTGTCAGTATCGCCTGCCTGAAAGTGTTTGTTTCCCTCCTCTTTTAACTGGATTGGGTCTCCCATCTGGCAAAAAATTGGAATATATATATATTTATGTATATGTGAAATGTAAAATCAAACCTGTGTGTTGTTTTATTGTGCTCACCAGGCAAAGCTTACTTTAACAAATTCTGCCAATCAAATTTAAATTGAGCTTTTTACTTTTTCTCTGGATAAAAAACAAATACGTCAAATAAGCTGAACATATAATGATCGTGGCTGACTCTTTTTGTCTCTTTAAATTGTGTTAGAAAAGCAGTGTGCAAGCAGTTCAAAGTTATAAAGACACACCATTCAAACAAACGACAGAGTGGTAATGAAAATAATTTAACATACAATTAGAAATTATTTTCATTCTCACCTTCTTGCTAATCCCTGTCCCACTGACCTGGGTCCCCCGTAGAAAATGGCCATGCACATGCTATCTCTAACTTTAAATGGCCTCCCCTCAGGCCTTATTTGGGCACGATCTCCCACCCTAGTCTGAGCCTTGAGATAAATGGCACTTTCCTAGATGACCAACACTATCTCCACCTGCTCCCCTGATAGCCATAGTCTACCCTTATAATAAGTACCTCTGCCTACCTGAGTGTCCCTCAAAAGAGAATCACAGCTCTGTGTGGAAGCTGTTCTGTACCTTTAGATTGTATCTCTGTTGAGTCTCTCTTCTTCAGTCCTCTTCTTTGTTCTTTGCTCTTGTGGGGTTTTTTTTTCTTTTTCCTCCTGCGTAGATGATCTGGACCTGTAGTCCCGAGTGTTTCTTACAAACTTTATCTGTCTTGTGTTACCTCCCCCTACCAGTATCACAATTTATATTTATAGTGACTCTCAAGGAGGTGGGACAGAACTAAGGTGGACCACCAGTGACCAAAAGGGTTCTTTCCACAGTGACAACCCCCCCAAAAAACAGCTTTGTGCTTAAGGTTGGTGTACGTTTATGACGACTTGTATTGAAAAACATATAATTTAAGGGTTGTTGAATAATCTAAAGCTTCACAAAAAAACCCCCAAACTTTAGATTTGGTAATTTAGTGGAGAGTAACCCCTCAAAGGTGGTCTGCTCCTGATGAGGTCTATTTAGGGCACAGACAGCTGAGAACTCACCAGCAACTGCCTGATTGGGGGGGGG